CTCCCCTCACCCGCATCCGTGATGCCTAGTTTAGAGACGTTGCCATCAGTCACCCACGCATGAGTGGAGTCATTTAAATCATGCTTCTCATGAGTCTGCTTCTGTTTCAGCCACCTTTGGGCAAGTCTCCTGGGCCCACCTGCTCACTTGCTCCTTATCCGTGTTCTTCCGGGAAGGTTCATTTGAATCGCATGACCCTCTTCTAACTTAGTTCCAACTATTATTACCATGTTCCGTGTTATCACCACCATGGACCTCATTCATAATGCAGATCTGAGCTGCAGAATTGGCAGTGTCCATTATACTAGATTTCACACCCAAATCCAGCTTCCAGAACTCAAGGTCTCTGGAGGCAGAGGGTCATCAAAGGTATGGTACAAGACCTCAGCTAACTATGATACTGGTAATACCTAAATAAGGACTTTTACCCTCTGGCCGTTCCAAGCCATTGTGAGTTATACTGTCCACAGGAGTCAGGGGCTTGATCGGTTTCAATGGGACAGTCCCTACCATCTAGTTGTGGTTGATATTCCTGGCCACTCCCACTTTAACTCTCTCCATAACCGCCAACATGAGTGAGACAGGGCCTCTAAGGCCAGTTTTCAGATGCTCTGGCCCATTACTTGTTCCCCGTCAGTTCTTTGTACCTGACTGCATTAGAGTGTATCTGCCTCTCTCATATTATTGGTCTTTGTTGAGCTCTATCTGGGTTTCCGAAGGTATCAATTCTATGTTCTATAAAAGCAACATGCCTCTAATTTCTGCTTATATGTTTGGAAGGTCATTTCTTCTCCTCTATTGGGGCATCTTACCACTTAAAGACTCTATTGTTCTGACAGTGTTGGACAATATATCGAGCAGTTCCAAGGGTCCTGACATGAACAATAGCACCATTGACATTCTCTGGTCAAGGCCAGACCCAGGCCTAAAGGCTGTGACTGGCTAATCCTACAGGCAGGTCTTTCGCCGTCATTAATCCCTCAATATTGTTTTTAGACATCACAATCACAACCACACATCTTTCTGTATGCAGGCCCTGGGGACACACTTCCACACCACAAAGAACAAGGGATCTGTACCACCAGTGGTATGTACTCCACAATGAAGAGGGAGGAGCCAATAAACTCATTCCAGGAGGGACGTTCCGGGTTCCTTGTTTGCGGAAGTGTCATCTATGAAGCTGGGTACTCTTGTCCCCTAAATTCCGCCCTCAGTTAAAGAAGAGGAAATTCTATATTGTGTCAGACTCTAGGTTGTTACATAGACCTGGAAGCTTCGGGCACCTCAAAACCTAAGTTCAGTTTTCAGCAGTGTGGGCAGGCTTCTCATGTTAAATGGCTGAAATCACATGTGCATCTAAAGGGGCATTTCAGGAGGTTATGTGGCACTCCCAAGGGTGTGTACTCACACAGCCATCTGCAATATCACATGACTGGACCTGCAGACTGTGTATCTACCTGCGGCACCGTGTTCCCTGGTAGTGATGCCTGCTTACAGCACTCCATATGACCTGGGTCCTGACTCACACAAACCCTCCCTCGCCTTTACCATGAGTCTCTGAGAGTTTGCAAGTTCCTTTTTGTTTTGTATTGGTTTGTTTCGAGACAAAGGTCTCTGTAAGCCAGGCCTATCCAAAACTCACTAAGTCCAAGACGACCTCAAATTTATGGCAGTCCTCCTGCCTCAGGCTCCCAAGTGTCCCACTTGAGAGTCACATTTCTCATTTTGCCCTTCATCTTTTTGCTGATAACAAAGTTGCCATCCAAATGGCAAGTACTGTACATGTGTCAGGGTGCCTGTCCCCTTTATCTCAGTGACAGCCTAGGAGAGTGGCTGCAGTCTCCTTTTCTCTGAGCTCATTTTCCTCAGGTGTCACTTGCATGTTTATGTGTGTATCTTGCACTTGCCTGGTACCTGTGGAAGCCAGGAGAGGGAGTTGGATCCCCCGATGAAGTTACTTCATTGCCCAAGTACTACTGGAAACAATCGGCATTTCATTTCTGTCCATCTAACACTCAGAGCAGCAGGAAAATTTTTACATTTAGAAATAAAAGCATTTAGAGTAATAAAGAGTATTTCATTTTTGCTGTTGATTTTCTTTGTTTCTTGGAATAGGGGTCTCGTGTAGTCCAGGTTGGCCTTGAACCAACTATGTAGCTAAAGCTGACTTTGAACTTCGATTCGCCTGCCTCCAGCTTGTGCCACCATGCCAAGCAGTTACAGGTGTTTCTGAGGATCATTCATTCTAATAGACGATGGAAGAAATTTATATACGACTGAACATTTTATTACCTTTTAGAAGAAATCTTGCAAACTGATAACCAAAGAAACAACAGAAAACTGAAGTCAAACTTCTGGGGAGTGTTGTATTTGTTAACTAGGATTCGCTCAACAAAGTGAAAAAGCAATGTGTGTAATGGATTATTGGGGGTAAGTTCCCAAGAAGCAAGCTTGTCATACATGTGACAAAACTAGAATATGTGTGACAAAAATTTCACACCATTGAGAAAATATAAGCCTATTATTAATATAAAAAAATCTCTTACATGCAAGTCTCAGCCAGTTCCCTGGGAAGAGAGGTTATGAACAAGTGAAAGAAGCTGATGGAGGGGCAACGTTTCTCCGATTTGAGCAGCTCATACTGGGTAGAAAAACTAATCATAATAAAGCTGGACTAGGCCTCTGATCCAGAACTCCACTTCTGCTAGACCCTACAAGATATAGCAGGAGGATTAACTCAAGGGCGGGGGATATGATAAAGCCTTCAGATATAGTCTAGCTTTTATTCCACGGGGGCGGAGGAGCATACTCGCATAATCTCCCCCCGTAAGATTCACAAATGTGAAGGGAAAAAAAATCACAAAACTTTATTGGGGAGTTCAGTTTGATGGCCCTGATATCTGGTCATTCAAAACTATGAAGGAAACTCTTGGGGAGTTTCCAGTCCCCCAGTGAGCTCAAAAAGGAAGAAAGAAAGAATCAAGGGGAGGAATTTCAGACGAGAAGCCTCTTGTTTAAGTCACAACTTGGGTACAATGAAGGATTCAGAAAGGACAGAAACCTCACGGATGGATTAAATGTGACAAGTTCTGCCACTCTACACAAAGTCAGCCCTGAGATGGAGAAAACCAGTGACTGAATGCACATGAGAGCCCTGGGAGGAAGGTGGAACTCTGCGTATTAAGGACTTCCCACCAGAGGGCAAAGTCCGGAAGTGGGGTCTCTGGTGGGAGGCCAGGATTCTAGTCAGTAACAGCTGGTGAGGAACCCGTGAAGTGCAGTCAGTGGAAAACACTAGAACTCATTCTAACTCAAAGCCTGGGGGAAACCACATGAATGCCAAAAGAAAAAAATGGTGGAGAAGCTTTCAACTAGAAGTCAGAACTCACCACAGAGAAACACAAATCAGTCGGTACAGGACAGTATTCAGACCATAGCTCACTGAGTCCGGAAGAGATCAGTCACATGGGCAAGGTGTTCTCAAGAGGACACATTTCACAGGGACAAGGCTCTCTCAAGAGGACACATGTCGCACTCTAGGGACTCAAGCAGGACAGGAGCTTTGGCAGGAGCCTCAGAAAGAGTTCAGCAGGAAATGCAATATCACACTTTGAATTGTGGGAAAACTGGGAACACATGAGGCCAGGAAGGGGAATCTATAAAGCAGAAATATTCTTAAAAAAAAAAAAAGCCTCGATGGTGTCTTCAGAAAGCTAAAGTATTGCACCTCCAGGTCATAACCCACTACCTTGGAGCATCTGTCCATTGAAGTGCAGCTCACTTTCAAGACTTAAATACTGGAGAATTCACAATGAGTTAAAACAGCTAATTCAACACATTTAAAAAACAGGGAAAACAAAATTCCCTAACTAAACACCAGCTCTGTAAAAGAAAGATTAGTAAAAAATGAAAGTCCATGCATGGTGTTTGAATAGCTTCCTCCATTTGCTTCCGTCCACCTCTCAGAGAGGCAATCCAAGAACATATGCAGGAGAGCCTTTATAGCCGTCCTTATCATTTAATTAAGCCGGACATGGTTACACATACTTTCGACCCCAATACTTGGGAGGCAGAGGCAGATGGACCACTGTGAGTTCGAGGCCAGCCTGTTCTACAGAGTGAGCTTCAGGACAGCCAGGGCTACATAATAACAATAATCCTCGCCACAGAAACAAGACTGTTCCTGGACCCCCACCCAACAAAGCCCAGCTGTTCTTCATTCTCTCACACACTAACATGTTGGCATTTCTTCAGGTTGGAGCAATTTACTGGAACATACACAGCCAAGAAACGCTGTCAAACTTCGTAGATGATCCTGTGGAAAGAGAGAAAAGGAAACAACCTCACAGAAGCCTTCCCTGTTCCCAACTCTCTATGCTGTAGGCCCACCCCGGCACCCGGGACTCTCACAGGCTCTCATCTTCTGTGTCAGGAAAATGAATGAAGACCCCCAAGTTTCCTTTTGTGGTCGTTGCACCCTGGCCAGCCCCAAGGTGATGCTGTTGGATAAGATAAATCTCACCCCAACCTGACAAGCCCTGGCTTCACCATGGTCTTTGAATGCCTGACCAGAAGGCATTAGTTTAGTTTTTGTCTTAAGGTAGAAACCTGAAAGTGAGTTTTGTGGGTAATAAAGACGGAATGATGACGTTGGTATGCCCAGGAAAGCGGAAGTCCAACATGGCTCGGGGTCTAGCTCTTTCTGAAGGCACGTCCAGCCGTGCTGGGCGTGGTCTTCACGCATTTCCAGCCTCTGGTGGTCACTGTGGAGCCTTTGCAGCTTCCACTGTGAAGCCAGGAGAAGCAAAGAAAGGGCAAGGAGCAACCTGTGACACCCACACTCCATCCTGCTACTTGGCATCCTCTGCGTTCTCGCTCTTGGGCGGGGCCGCTATCGTGGACGTTGTCTTGAGGCTGCGCTTCCGCTTCTGCACATTCTGCTCTGGATGGAACAGGATGACGTAGGTTTTGGGCACGTAGAGCATGCCGAGGGACACCGACGCGCTCAGGCTCAGGGACACGGTCAGTGTGGTCGTTTGGATATAGATCTAAGCACGGAGGAGGGAACAAGACGGAGCTTAGCCCTGTTTTCTCTCGATCCCACCGCCTGTAGACTGGAGGTGAGTTACTTCTGTCAGGTGAGCGGGAACAGAAACAATGGAAAGGTTAGCAGGAGAAAGTCAGGCACAGTGTGGATCTGGTGTAGGCAGGAAGATGGGTGGAGTGACACAGACTGAGTGGGCTATTAAGAAAGAGAGAGTCGACTTGAGAGGTGGCTCAGCGGTACATGCACTTGCAGTCCGTCAAGCCTGTAAATCCAAGTTGGATATAAGAGAACTGATTCTCCAAAAGTTGTCCTACAATCTACGCAATTTGTACTGTGGTACATATGCATGTGCTCATACAACACACACGCACGCACACACACACACACACACACAGAGAGAGAGAGAGAGAGAGAGAGAGAGAGAGAGAGAATAAATATTTTAAAATTCCCTTTAAAAAAGGAAGAGGGGCTGAGAGGTAGCTTAGTGGTTTAGGAAGACATGCTGCTCTTGTGGATTATATGGGTTCAGTTCAACACTAGGCAGCCTACAATCACCCATAACCCATAACCCCATTTCTAGGGGACCCTATATCCTTTTCTGGCCTCCTAGGGTGCCTGCATGTATAATGCTATACATATAAACAAGCAGGCATATGCAAGAAAAATAAATAATTTTCAGATTACAAAGGAGTGAAGAGGATGGCACTTGGGCAAAGGCTCCCGCTCCTAAAGAGGCAGAATTTATTAATGAGGAAATGATCATGTTTTCAAATATAGAAATGAGGGAATAAACAAGGGAGAGAGGAATGAATGGACAGGCTCAGGGCTATAAGAGAGACGAACAAGTGCATCCACCCACAGTCGTTCTAACGAGGCATCAGGATGGGTGGTCCAGCTCCTGGACAGTAGAGCCCTTCAGTAGGGGGTGAGCAGTGAGCAGGAAAAGCCTGCTGGGGGACTCAGTTACCTTCTCAGCTGACTGGGCGGTGCCAAAGAAGATGGGAACGAAAGCCAGCCAGATAATACAGGTGGTGTACATGGTAAAGCCGATGGGTTTGGCCTCATTGAAGGTCTCAGGCACACCTCGGGCCTTGATGGCATACACTGTACACGTGACCATGAGCAGGAGACTGTAGCCCAGACATCCAATGAGGGACAGATCAGACATGTCACACTTGAGCACACCTCTGGCCTGTTCCGGGTCCACCGTCCTCTGTTCCTCATAGTCAATCACGCTGTGTGGAGGTTGGGCCCCCAACCACGCTATTACTGCTACTACCTGTGGGAACCAACACAGTGTCAGGGACATACTGTCTTCTAGTGAGGAGTCCATTGCAGCCCCTCACCTGGGTCTCTGGCAGGTCAGATTTCTTATGATGTTCATGGCCTACTGAGTTGGATGCTCCGTCTTGAAAGACTAACTGTGAAAAAGGATCGCCCAGGGGTGTGTTCCTACCTGTGATGGTGTGTGTGGAAAGGACAGTTGTGCTTGAGGCACGTGTGGACCACATCGGGGTGGGGTAGGGAAGCAGCAACCTGACCACCCCACACTGGGCTTTAACCGCATGCCATACCCCTGAGCACCTTCAATGCTCTCCAACCTCCTCCTCAGTGTCTCCCTATGCAGACTGGAAACCCACAAAATCTGTCATGAGGACATGATGCCTTCTCAGAGGAACCAGTGCCACCAATGAGAACCAGCCCCCAAAGGGATGTCTGTCCTCACACCCACGCTGCTCCGTAGGTGTGAAGGTACCAGCTTGCACACAACGAGCAACATGGCAAAGCTGGTTTCCAGCTTTCCTTTCCTCTCCAAAGCGAGATAACTATGGACAGAATGCCATGAGCTTATGGGTGAATGTGCACAACATGGTCCCATCATAGGCCAGAGGCTAATGCCCGAGCCTTCACAGGGAGAAAGTGGAGTTTCAGCTGCTTCCAGTGTCAACAGACAGATCCTGAGCCAAAGGAAACTGAGGGATGAGCATAAATATGTCTGCATAAAAGTGAGATCCTGAAGGGGGTGACCCATGTGTCAGTTCAGGTTGCTCACTATATAAGAGTGTCAGATGAAAGGGTACGTGGGGTTGAAATCTAGCAAGCCATCCAGTGCCATGCCCTCTGAGGAAGGGGTCTTCAACTGAAGAGTTGTCTCCATTAGACTGGCCTGTCTGCATGTCTGTGGGGGACATTTTCTTGACTGCTGAATGATATAGGAGGGCCCAGCCCACTGTGAGCGGTACCATCCCTAGGCAGGTGCGCTTGGTCTCTATAAGAAAGGTAGCTTAACGTGAGCCCAGGAGCCAGCCAGTAAGGAGCATTCCTCCGTGGTCCCTGCCTTGACTTCGCTCAATGATGGACTACGACTTTTAAGTATTAGGTGGGAAAACCTCTTTCCTCACCAAGCTGTTTCTCATAGCAACAGAAGAGAAACTAGGGCAGTGCCCCGTAGTAATTTGTGCACCCAGAAGGCACACCCTTCTCCTGTAAGCCGCAGCTCAAGGAACTAGGGCCTAATGAGATAAACCCTCCCCATCCAGGCTGGCAACGTTGGAAGCTTCTCCTCGGTTAGGGGAAATGTCACTCAAAAGAAGCTGGAGCCTGCGGCTGATGGTACGCAGGATGACCAGCAGCCACGGTGTACTCTTACTGATGGCACAACCCATGTGTCTGATACAGAATCAGCAGTTCACATTGTAATAAACTTCTATAAAATGAACAATGACTAGAAGCTGACAGTGCAGAGAGGAGACTTCAAGGGCCCAGTCACAACAGTAGGCATTGAGACTGGGTATGATGGCCATGCCTTTAATCCCAGCACTTCAGAGGCAGGGGCAGGTGGATCTCTGTGAGTTCCTGGCCAGCCTGGTCTGTATAGTGAGTTCCAGGCCTGCAGGGTTGCATAGAGAGACCCTGTCTCAAAAAAGAAAAAAAAAAAGGAAGGAAGGAAGGAGGGAGGGAGGGAGGGTGGGAGGGAGGGAGGGAGGGAGAGAAGGAAGGAAGGAAGGAAGGAAGGAAGGAAGGAAGGAAGGAAGGAAGGCCACTACATATTCCCTATATTGGTAGAAGCATCCAGAAAAGCTGAAAGTGTGGAGAATCCAAATTCATGAGGCAAAACAGATAAGTGTGAGGGGGTGGGGGAACACTGAATGTTTTGTACGCATCTCCGTCCAAAGGGTGAGGGGTGTCACACCTTCTCAGGATGCTTGGGGCATGGTTTCTGGAGAAAGATCCAGCATCTCCTAAACACAGAGAATCCATTGAAGTGGAATTCAACACGGGATACAGATCCAGGAAGGAGGAAGGTCATCTGCCCGGGACAGTGTGCCTTGTCACATGGCCAGGCTGTGTCAGCACCCAGAGAGCATATCAGGGTATACTCTGTCACACCAGCCACAGCAACCCCGCCTCAGTCCATTCACCTTAGTTCCCTCCCCATAGGAGACACCGAGTCTGTGGAGCTCTGTCCCACTCTGTAATAGCTGCACTTAAGGAGAAACCGTGGGAACTTTGAACCCCAGTTTTTTAATCTTTGTTCCATCATGAGATGTTGGCTGTAGCAGAAAGGATGCTGCACTCCACAGCGTCTGTGGCCTCTGAGACACATTCTTGCCCTATTTTCATGTGTGAGACCCCGTTTAACTTCAGCAGATAACAACATGGCTGAACAGTTGGATGCTCCATTTCCTCTACAGATTTAGCAATGGAAATGGCTGTTTAAAAGTGAGTTGTGCTCAATTTTGAAGAAAAACAGGGTACAGTGTTCTGCTGGTTGCTTGGACAGAGTCTCACTGTGTCATCTGGGCTGGCCTCAAATTCACAGAGATCCTCCTGCTTCTGTCTTCCAAGTGCAGGGATTAAGGGTGTGGACCACCACACTTGGTCTGTCCTTCTGATTTTTAAACACAGGGCCCCAAGTGGAAAAAGTTGACTTTATGAAGCCCACTTCTTTGAAGGCTTTTTCTTTAAAAAAAAAAAAAAAAAAAAAAAAAAGACAGAGTCTCACAATGTAGACCAGGCTGACCTAGAACGCTCTATGTATAGCACAGAGAGCTCTGTCTCCTGAATACATAGTTAAAGATGTGTGCTACTACACCTGGCCTGAAAATTGCTGTGGACATGAGGATGGTTTTGAACTTCTGATCCTCTTACTTTCACCTCCTGAGTACTAGGATGACAGATTGTCACCGTGCTGGGTTTATGCTGTGCTGGGGAATCAAACCCAGGACTTTTGCATGCTAAGAAAGCCCTCTACCAATTGAACTGTATCCCTAGCCTCTTATTCTCCGAGTTCCAAGCTGGAGGGACTTAGGCATTCCTCACGCACTCACCATGTTACTGAGAAATCTGGGGACCCACCTGCAGAGAGGTGAGGCAGAAGGTGATGACCAGCTGTGATGTAGGGCTGATGAAGGGTGGCGGTGTGACGGAACGTTTCCCTTGCTCAAAGATGCGGTAGATGCGGTTGGTCTTGGTGAGCAGGGCCGAGTAGCTGAGGGTAGTGCCCAAGCCCAGGAGAAGTCTTCGGGCAGCGCAGACAGCCGCACAAGGCTCAGCGACCATGAGGAAGGTGATGGCGTAGATCAGGAAGATGCCAGTGAGCAGCACATAGCTAAGCTCGCGGCCGGAGGCACGGACTATGGGAGTGTCATTGTGGCGCATGAAAGTGACAATGATGGTGGTGGTGGCCATGATGCCCAGTACAGCCAGGAGAAGGGGCAGCACAGCCCATGGAGAAGACCAGGTCAGGCGGACCACAGGTGTGGGGCGGCAGCCAGTGTGGTTGGGTGTGGGCCTCATGTCCCCTGGACAGGCCTCACATGTGAACTCATCCACCTGGAAGCGGTACCCATCGCAGGCTTCACAGTGCCAGCAGCAAGGGACACCCTTCACCATCTTTTTCCGTTCACCAGGCCCACAGGGGAGGCTGCATTGAGAAGGGGGCATCTCATGGGGGTCTCCTGACCACTGCAGGGCTTCCATCTGGAACAGAGGGAACACAGGCCGCTGACCTCTTCCACCAGGAATTCAGAGCCCTTCACCTCCACCCAGAGATTAGTCCCTGACACTTACATCCAGTCTAAGGGCCTCTGCCCATTGGCCCACAGCCTGATACCCGCCACTGCTGGCACTGCCATTGGTTGCCTGGTACTGGAAGATGTCATAGCGCCCGGGGGCATCTCCATTCTCATTGAACATCACTGGGGTTCCTGCGCTGCCTGCAGGGAGAGGCCAGTTGTCTCTAGTTGCTTTTCCCAGCCCCAAAGCCATCTTTTGGAAAGCCTCAAGGAACAGCTTGACAGGCTCCTGGCAGGATGCTCAGCATCACTCACTAGCAGTGATGTAGCTTCAGACAAGGTGATGCTGCCTCCCAGCCATGAGGAGGACATGGAACAAAACATACCTCTCAGAGCTGGAAATGGCTCAGTGGGTAAGAGCCCTGCTGCTCACGCATGAGAACTTGAGTTCAGATCTTAGCACCCACTCCCAGTGCTCAGGGGCAGAGGCAAGAGGATTGCTGGCTCTTGCTAACCCCCAGCCTAGCTCAAAGGAGTAAGGTAGGAAGAGCTAGAGCAGAATACCCGATGTTCCTTCACAGACAAGCACCCAAGTGTATACACACACATATATACAACTCTCGCCAAACCTAAACTGCAGGCATCCCACATATCTGGTGGAGAGTGTACAATTTTATGCAGGATAGTAGTTGAATGTAACACAATTCCTGCAAGCCCCATGCGCATGAGGACTCCTTCAGGTCTGTTCAGATACAGTCCTTAGAGCCTGGACTTTACGCAGGTTCTGATGGTGCAGAAATATGTCAGACCCATGCCTTTTGTCACAGGAGCTCAGAGCCTGACTGGGACAACATTTGGAAGCCTGTGACTATCCATCCACAACAGGGAGCTTGCTGTGGTCTGTACTGGACCCCAGGCCCACCACAGAGCCTGGGTCTTCTAAGCAGTGTGCAGTGGACAGGGAGTGCTATATGACTTGTTGGGCTTGGTAGATGGGTCAAGCAGCAGTTCCCCAACATTGAATTTTGCCAATTGGCTCTGAAGATGAAGCCCCCAGAGGGTTAAAAAGCAGAGGCTTGCACTTGCATCAAACCCCCAGGAATCAGTCCTAGTGTCTTCTCTTCCATCCTGCCTTTTTTTTCCACTCTAAATTGTCATGGTTGCTGCAGATCAACCCATGGAAGCTGGCTTCCCCACCCTGTGGGGCCAGGCAGCCACTCACCATTAAAGCGGACCGCTCGAATGTAGTTCAGCAGTGTACGGCCATCCGTAGGCTCCATGGCTGGGCACAGACCTGTGTGGCCTGGGCAGAGTGCTTGGTGCATGCTGTGGAGTGCGTGGGCGATGGCGTACACGGCATCTATCACAAACTGCACCTTCCCCTCCTGCTCATAGGTGGAGTCTTGGCCGATGCGTTCCTCACCTGTCCTAGGAAGCCCAGAGGAAGTGTGCCTGGCCCCTGGACACCAAACCTGAACTCCCCATCCTCTCCCCGTCATCGTCCCCATCCCGGGTAGTGCTCACCTGTGCATTTTCGGGTGGAATCGTCTGACTGACCCCCTGAGCTGGTTAGTTTGCAGTTAAAATTTTCTTCCCAGAACTCAGCAAACCAGATGTTTCTCCGGTTGTTCTCCAGGGAACGCGTCATGAAGTATTGGTCAAATCCTAAGAGGCGGGAGGGCCTTAACCTTCTGAGCCAGGTGGACTTTTCTCATGGTCCTTTGTCACCAGCCCACTTTCTTTCCAGGAGTGGCCCTGTGACCAAGTTCTAGATCCTGAAGATAGAGATCAGGGTGGGGGGTCCCCAGAGCAAGGTGCCTAGCAGGGCTAACCATATTGGTGATCTCTGGGTTGTATTGAGTGACCCTGCCTCAGTGAATAGGGTGAAGAAATAATTGAGGATGATTCCTGATATCAACCTCAGGCTGCCACATGTACGCACACGCATCTCCATCCTGTATTCACGTGCACACACATACATGTGCATCATGTACACACACACACACACACACACACACACACACATGAAAACGGGAGAAAAAGGTGAAGATACTTGGGAGTTCCAGGGTAACATTTGCAACCTTAAAGAATTTATCACTGCCCATTCTGTCCCCATTAGGGTGTTGCTATGGCTACGTAATTAACAAGACTTCTCTATGTATCCTGTGACCATGAGGCCAGAGACAGAAAAGAAACAAAGCTTTAGAAAGAAAGGCAAGTAGACCCCAAGATTTTGAGAACATTGGCTCACTGTTCCACACCTGATACCCTCCCCCACTTCCAGTCCTCTTCTGATAAAATGCCTTGATTGCTAACACTCTGCTCAGTCCAGTTTTTCCACTTGGCATTTATTTAGCATTCTAGCTAAAAGAAAGGGTGCGAAGGTGAACACCCCACTAAAGCTGGAAGCCTGTGGGAGATGGCACTCCTCTTCTTCTGGGCTCCCGAAGCAGGTCATCAACCCTGTATTTTGGGTTCCGGGTTCAGAGATACGGACAAGCATCTCACAAAGTGAACCTCACAGATGGAAAGGGAGCTGATGAGCAGACAAACTAGACCTGGCCTCATCACTTTTATCAGCTGGATAGTATATTCCACATCCTCGGTTTCTCTCTCTCCAACATTCCCATTTAAATTACCTTTGGTAAGACCCAAACTATATGCATGGTGTTTTGAAGCCACAGCAGAACACTAGGGGTTCTTTTCCCTCCTAGGCCACATTCAAGCACTGCTTGCTGGGATATAATCATAGAATCTCAGAGTCACAGCATCTGGGACTCCGAGAAGAGAGTGGTTCCTGTTATAAAATGAGCATCCCAAAGAGAAAACATTTGGGAGGATGAGTGGGGTGGGGGACTTACCATCGATGGAAGCCCTTTTGGGTAAGATGGTGATGGCCCCCACAGCCACCTCCTCTAGGTTCAAGATGGGGGAGATCTTGGATCCCCAGCTGTCTGAGCCAACCCAAAGGAAGTGGCCAGTCAGGTTGGCCTGGCGTGTGGCCTCCAAGACCCTCCTGGTAAGAGCAGAGCTAGAAGTAAGGTCACAACCTAGGAACTTTCTCCAATTTGCTCTTGGCCACCTCCCATCCTGTATTCCTCCATCCTACTCCACATCGATCATCACATTCCTGTTTGTCAGGGCTCTGCCCAATGTGTGTGAGTGCATGTGTGTGTGAGTGTATGCGTGTGCATGTGAGTATGTGAGAGTATGTGTGTGTGAGTGCGTGTGTGTATGTGTGTCGGATTGTATTGTGTGCACACGTGTACATGTGTGTGGTGGCCAGAGGTTAACTTTAGTGTCATTTCTCAGGTTCCGTACACCTTATTTATCTATTTATTTATTTGAGACAAGATCTCTTTAGTGGTCTTGAGCTTGCTGATTTGGGTAGGCTGACTGGCCAAGGAGCCCCAGGAATCCTCCTGCCTCTACCTCCCCAGCCTGGAATTACAAACAGCGAGCCACTAGGGATTGATCATGGGTCTCTGGGCTTGTGCAGCAGGCACTTGGCCTGGCCCTCTGTCCACTCTAACCCACTCTGCACTGGCCCTCAGATGATGCTGTGGTTTGGATTTGGTTTGAGTGTGTCTATCTGGTGGAAGCTTGGACCTCGGTGTTAATACTGGGAGGTGATGTAACCTTTAAGTCTTGAATCTCAGCACTTGGGAGGCCAGCTTGGTCTACATAGCAAGTTCAGGGATACATAGTGAGACGCTGTCTCAAACAAACAAACAAACAAATAAATAAGAGGTGGGGCCTAGTGCAAGGCTATTGCATCCCTGAGGACATTGGTTGTGTCCTCTGGAGAGCTGAGATAGTTCTGTGAAAGTGAGTAGTATAAAAGACAGAGCCCAGACCCTCTTCCTTCTGGCATTCTGTCTCACCATTTGTCAAAATGCAAGGCAAACAGGACCCTCAGGGGAGCTGGTTTCATGCTACCTCCAAAACTGTCTTTTGAAAACATGTCTTTCCCTAATAAATCACCCAGACGGGGAGATTTTGTTAGCGTAAAGAACAATGGATTGATATAGAGAGCTCATTTGGGGAAACTGAGCAGCCATTTCACCCACGAATGCCTCTACCAGTGTCACGCCCAACTTCCTGTCCTGGGAAAGCACCTTAGCTAGCTTTGGACGATATAAGTGTCAGGGTTTACTGGGAGTGTACCCTCATGGTACATTTCCTGCTCTTGGGTCTGCCCAACAATTCCCTCTCCCATAGTGAACAATAGAAATAGCCATGTTTTCCTGTGTTTCCCAGGCTAGGCCTGTGACATCTCCAGCCAGTTAGGCTGGACTCATACCCTGAACACAAGACTTCTGATGGCAACAGGAAGTGCTTGGGGAAAGGAGAGGGGAGGCTGCTCATGGCTGGGAGTGCGGAAGGATAAGGTCTCACAGAAAGAGCCTCAAGAGAGCATGGTGACTGAGCGTGCCAACAGTCCCACCTGATGTCATCCTCGTTGGCAAAAATGATGATGCCCCGAGCGTTGGGTGTTTCCATGAGTCTCCGGATCACTTTGTGGAATTCTCCCGGCTTTGGCTCCCTGGGAATCTTTATTGATTGTGCAATGCAGACACCTCCTGGATGTCGGAATGTCAAAGTCAACTCTTGTCTCCACTACCCTCGCACATACCCACCTGGCTGCCACTTCTGTGACTGTGTAGGGCTTAACTGAGGAATCTGGACACTGGAGAGCTTGCCTGGACCCTACCTGGCAGACCGTAAGCATGACCTGAATCCCTTAAAGCTGTGGTTCTCAACCTGCGGGTCAGGAGCCCTCTGGAGGGGTTGAACAACCCTTTCACAGGGCTCGCCTAAGGCCATCAGAAAACACAGATATTTACATTATAATTCTTCATAGCATAGTTGAAGTAGAAACAAAATAACTTTATAGTTGGGGTCACCGCAACATGAGGAACTGTATTAAAGATTCGCAGCATTAGAAAGGTTTAGAACCACAGCCTTACAGGGGCTTTGCCTGCCTGGAGCACACTTCTGGGCTGCTATGGGACCATCCTGCCGCCACCCCACCCCAGTCTATGTCCCTTCCAGTGGTTTCTGGCTCTCCCCTTCCTTAGCTGACTGTTCCCTGGGACCTCCATCCCAACTCCCTACTCACCGGCCTCTCGGGAAATCTGCACAAAGGCCTCAACGCCACTCTCGCCATAGTTGCCTTCAGAGGCCAGTGTAGACACGTAGTTCCATCCCAGCGCCCGCACAATGTCCACCATGGCCTGAGCCTGGTAGGAATCAGGGGGCACCACTCGGGAGAAGAAGTCATAGCGTGTGGAGTCACTGAGCTCTGGGGCTGTGGAGGCGTAGCTGATCTGGGGTATCTGAAGCAGGAAGAACAGACAACTGGGCTGTGGTTGGAGGCTCCGTAGACCAGCGTGGCCATAGGGACTCAGGACATGGGCCATAGACAAGTTGGGAATAGCTCTGGGAGACGGTAGGAACCTGAGACTCAGATGAGGCCAGCTGGAGGGGCCACACACACAGGCTAGATGTATGGGACTAGTGGAGTCTACAAATGGATGTGATGACTGGAAGGTTAGAAGGGCTTAGAGCAGTGTCACCAGTGACAGTTGCACAGGCTATCAGCCAAACAAGGACACTGGAGCTTAGGGAAAGGGTGCCCTGGTCTGGGGGAAAGGGGGTTCTGTTGACCCTGTCTCCCAGAGTGAGTGGCAGTCTTTTTCAGTAGCAGCCCCCTGCTAGGATCAGAGCAAAGCAGGGCTGGAGAGGAGGGTAGTGCCAGACTGGACAGTCTAGGGGAAAGGCTTGTGGGAAACTAGGTTTCATCTATGACCATTAGAGAGATTAGTAGCAGGGATTATGGGCTGAACCGTGTTTCAGGAAAGTGGGAGCTGGGCTGGGAAAGATGGAGCACAGAACTGAGGAAACAGGGCAAGGAGGCTGAAAGCTTGGGGGGGGGGGAGCAGATGTGACCCCGAATGAGATAAAGAGGGACCAGCAATCAGCACAAGGTCTGGCAGGGAGTCCTGGAAGGAGGGGCTGGGGCTGCTCTAGGGCCCTTTGAAGGAGGGTGGGGAGGCAGTGCAGGAAAGGTGAGTGGGAAAGAGAGAAACAAAGAAGGAGGGTGGGAGGAAGAGAAGGAGGGGCGAGGCTTAGCTGGAGAGCATGGGGAGACAGAAGATAAACAAGAAAATAAAAACCAGAGGAAAGAGAACAAAGAAAGGCCTACTGGTTGCAGCAGAACTGATGCCCTCTTCAGTGCAGTAAACCCCACCCACGATCCACAGGATGACTGCTGTAGAGAACCCTCAAACTCTAATGCCAGAGCCACCCTCCCAGCCCCCAATCCCTGCACCTCAGCCTGCAAAGAACATAGTGCCCCCCAGCGATGAAGATGCAGAATCTTGCAGATGAGCTGTATAACAAGGCAAGGAGGCTCAGCTAGTCTTTAAGAACCCCCTGCACCAGAACGGGTTAAAAGGCAGGCATTTTGAAAAGGAATTTAAATGATGATCCAAAGATGAAAAAAAGGAAAAGGAAAGAGCAGTGGCACTTTACCCAGAATTCTCTACCCACTAGTGTAGCTCAGGGCAACTTCCAAGGGTTTTTGAAGAAGGACCTAAATCCCATGAAATCTCAATTTCTTTATCATCCAGGAGGGCTCCGGGACGGGAGCACCGTGAAGAGTTGTACAGATTGTCAGCAGAACCCAAAGGAGAGGGCAGCTGGGGACTGAGGTCCAATCTGCCCTTAGTCTGGTTCAGGCCTGTCAGGTTCCGGTGCCAGCCCGGACCCTAAATTATTTCTCCAGGACCAGAGGGAAGGCATGGGAATAATTGAGACAAGTCACATGGATTTATCGGGAGGGAGATTCTCAGTGGTCCCTCATGAAATCCTGAGTCCACATCCTGAAAATTCCTCTGCGTTTATTCTCCAAACAGCCTTATATACCAAACATAAACTAAGGGGGAAATTCATTAGCATTCTGTTTCCTAGGTAACCAGGCGAATGTTTCTGGTCTCGTCCACACCTTTGACCACACCTTTCTATGCTTTTTGTCTCCCTATCTTCCAGCCCTGTCACACAGGCCTGAATTAGCATCTCTATCCCAGGCGTCCTCCAAATTACAAAGAAGGAGCAGAACAACATTAGCATATCCTGACTCTTTGTTAGGGAGGTGACCACCTCCTGTGTGGCAGGTGCAAAGTACGGCCTGGGATTCTGGTCTCCATACCATGTAGAATTATGGGCACACAAGACCACGGACTGATGGGAAAAGGGACACCTTTCACTGAAAGGTACAAGCTTAGGTCAGC